CAGATGAAGGAAGTCGGTCTCCTGAGTGCAATCTGCTGTTTTGTCTTCAAAAGCCATCAAAAACAACATAGTGGAAACAAGCTGCTTCATTGCCATATATACTGCCTCACCTCAACAAACTCTCTTCATCCCCTATTCTCCCTGTCTTGTCATTTTCCCTGTCAGGAGTGAGGTGTTTTAATTATTCAGCCCGTCTCCATGCGTGTCTGCTGTGACAGCTGCAGGTGGGAAAAACTCAGAGAGAGCAACGTAAAGGGGTTTTTATCATGTTCTTTCTGTGAAGCGCTTCAGTGGCAGAACATAATAGCAACATGTTGAACCTTGAGATGCACAACAGATTACTGTGAGCACTTCCTCATTCGGGTGCCTTGATCATGCATACTTCATGAGTATAATTTCCAAATTACTCCATTGCCATTATTGTCAGAAAGAAAAAAAAAATATTCAATTGAAGCAACTGTGTTCTTTTATGGAGGTTGATCTCTTAATGTATGTGGCCAACTGTTCTGTTAAATAATAATTTATTCTGATGTTTATGGTCCGACATAGTTTTTATACGTCCAGCTAAAAAGCTTAGCATACACTATATGAACACACTAATCTTCTCTTTTAGTCATTAAGCTTACAACCACAAACAATAGAAGCATTACTACAAGTTCATGAGTCCCAACTGACCTCGTCACCATCACTGGCACATCTGAAACAGAAAGCAACCACACCCAAATCAAGTTTAATACAAAGCCATGACAATTAAAACATTACTGGCTGGGTTCAAGCATCAAAGCAATTGATAGTAGGAGCCTAGTGTTGAGAGGTTGGGAGCGTTGTTTGTTAAATGTTTGAGTTTTAGCAATAATTGATAAATTGCCATGGTACCTGGTACTAACAGCCATGGTTCAAGATGGCTCTAAATGACCTTGGTGATTCCTTAAAAAAACTACCGTCAAAATTTAAGTTACCGCCATGAAAATTTAACTTAATGTTCAAATACATCTGAAGCATAGCATATGCCAGCAGCCACAGCAGCACTTTAGGTTAAGTGATTATTAGCAAATGTTATCATGCTCACACTGTATCTTTACTTACTGAACACCGAACATATTGACATTGTCATTTAATGTGCTATCATTTAGCTCAGACACTGAAAGTTCTAGACTGTTACAGACTGTTGGACACTTAAGCCCCCAAAAGTCATGGCAGTTATCTTACAAGGTCGAACTTAGTAATATTGCTGTCAGTTTTAGTGGCATTAATGGATAGAAACATACAAACCAAGGAACTCACCTTTTTCATTCACCTTTCCCAACAATGTCACATCTATTAACTCCTAACCCTTTGTTTAGTGACATTTTTCATAAGATAGTGATATTGTCACAAATACAAAAACTAAATCAAAGTGAACATGGTTCTTCAACCTCAAAGAGAGGCACAGGGTGGACATATTGAATGTCCAAAGAAGTTACCAAATATGGTCACTGGCCCCATAAAGGGGTTAAAAACTGAAATGTCCACAAAAATAAAACTTAGATTGGTGAGACCCCAAAAATAAATGTAATCCAGGTTTTGATGAAACCATGGTTGATAGCAAAAATAGGAAACATTGTGCAGGCCTCAATCAAACAAAACATCCAAGGCTCAGAAAAATGCCTTTTTTTTTTCTTGTTTTCTGTAGGTCATGGCAACATATTTGGAATACCGCATTAGGAAAAGCCTGAACACCAAGAACAAACAGAAGACCAGCTCCTCTGCTGTTGGAAAACACATAAAGTCCTCTCTGTTTTATTTGTATGCTGATCTTTTGATATTGCAGCTGGCTGCCTCTCTGGCCCTCCAGCGTCTGTCCACTATTCCCTGTTCACCTCCACCCCTGCAGCATTAGAAAATAACCTTCACTCTGTATTCAGTGATGACTCTTCTCAGCGGAAACCGGCACCCACACATCTCAAACAAGTACTACAGCTCATACTGCCTGGGTGAGTCTGATGAACAAGGTGGTCTCAGAAGGGATTCCTTGTAAGTCAGCGGCAGCAGAGAGAGGGCTGGTGGGAAGGAAGGCAGAGATGCTGAGTCGCTGGTGTGAGTGATCTTTTCCTCTGTGGTGGGACAGACTGGAAATTGCTCCACACCACTACTGCCAGTAATCCAGCAGGCTCAGCTGTTCAGAGTGGCCAACGTGTGGCAAGGAGCTACCAGAGTCGGGTTTATAGGTGTGGAAACAAATAAACAGAAGAGAACCTCATGCAGGTACTCGCCTTTTCTGTCACTCTGAGTGCGTGTGGCCCTTCCTGTCGAACGTGGGGGCAGAGTCATGGTCTCTGACCATAAAGGATGTGGAAAGAGGAATCATCCTTGTTCTCACTCATTCTGTGACCCTCGCCCCTCTTTGTCATTCCTATTTCGTTTTTCTCACTTTATTCATCTTAAGTCCCACTTTTGACAATTACTGGGCTGTCAGAAAACTGTTGTATAATAAAAATATTTTTTCTGTTTTCTTAAAAAAAGAGTTGCAAAATGTCTCACATTCCCAGAAGACACAAGTTTTAACTGTATATGAAAAGTGGGTTATTGGTCACAGTCATAAACCCACAGAGAACTTACTCAACTCCATAGAGCTTATAAGCCTGTTTTTGCCCTTTGTTTTGGTTTTAAGATTTTTATAGGCTTTCCTTCCAAGAACCAGAGTCAGTTTGTTCTCCCAGCAAGCATGCAGCTGTTATCAGCAAACAAGCTCTGACAGGTTAGCAGCTTTGACAGCGAGTCAGATAGTTTTCTCAGGAGATGGTGGAGACCAAACCAGAGCTAAAAGAAGAGTAAATATTCCATGGTAATCTCATGACGCATCCAGAAACTACACTCTAAATGAATTATGTTACTCTCGGTTCGTTGGAAGTGTAAGCAACTGTTAACCAGGAACAACTTTAAAAGGGAAAGCTTGTTTTGATGTTCTCCAAAGTGACAAAAGGGTGACTAATGTAGATTTCTAAGATTTCTTTTCTACAAGTTTCATTATGACGTTTTAAAAAAGTGAATCCGTCATAAACCACGAAAGCAAAGCTAATAGTACACCCAGGAGACGTGTGGGCTGATGTGGCTCTTGTAGTTTTACAGAGGAATTTAAAGACAAGAATCTTACTAAGCTGATCTGTGGATGGATTTCATTAAGGAACTACTATTACTGAAACACAACGTCTTGTGTTCAAATAACATGAGAAATTGCTTATTGCTTATTATCTGTGATCTGACTAAGCTCTTGGCTCTATATCCCACCAAAACCACAGTGATGAAGGAGGATCAGTGCTGCCTGGAGACTGTGTGTCAGATCCCAATGTGGACGGGCAGGAGGAGGGGGGCGGCGCCCAGGGATCTCCTGGGATCACCGTGGAGCTCCGAGACAAAAGGGACATTGTGGCACAGACTGACCCATCCAAGAAAACATTACTTCCTGTCCCACCAGCTCTAGCATCCTCCGCACATGAACTACTCACTTCCCAGAACTGAAAGTCCCTTTTTAACATCGTCTGCTGTAAACTATTTCCAGCAGCAGTCATTACTGACCATATGCAGACACAGTAACTGTATTTGCTGAGGAGAATTAAGTATAAAACTGACTTGACAAATAAAGACTGAGATCATAATGGAATTTTACCCTATGACAAATCTTCACTCATTTACTGGACGTTTGGATGTAGCAGTAGAGAACAAGCCAAGTATGCACAGGAAAAATAGGCAAGTTTAGGTACCTTGTGACTTGCTCCATGTTACATATTTTGCATATCTAGGCCCACAACTATAAATCATTCATACCTAAGATTATTGCCAAAAAAGCATCAATCAATTTTTATAATTTTCTTTGAAGCTCTGTAATAAACAACAATTTGCAGAGCCTTGAAACTCACTTCTAGCATTCTAATTAATCCTCCTTCGCTCAATATATCAAAAGTTTTTGTATTAAAATGTAATAAAATTACTATATATGGTGCAAACAAGATCATTTGTAGGGATAAACACAGACAAAACTCAATAACTGCCTAGCACCAAACGTCAAACAGATGAAGTTAGAGACTAGCTTGTAAGAAAAGTGGACAGTCCAACAGCTAAAGGGCCAAACATTTTTCTAAAGGGTTTGATGGAGACCAAACCAGAGCTACAAGCATAGTAAAAATTGGTCTCTAATTAACTAAACAGACAGAAAGTCCACTCCAATGGGTTAATATTCTTATTTAATGTGTCAACAGACAATTGTTTGCATTTATTCTGCTGCCCAGTAGCCATAAAGGTTTTAGCACAGCTTTAAAGATTGGAAGATATTTCACAAGGTCACAATCTGGTTGCAGAAAAGCTCCCTTTTTAAAATGTACATCCTCTTTAAATGTAACTCCTCCTTTTAGCAGCAGTCTCTTTGCTAAAAAGAAGTGAATTCACAGGGTTTACATTGAGAAAACAAACTCAGAAAGCAAATAACTGGCCAATATGAAATGCATGAAAACTGTTAATAATCACTTTCTGCATTAAAAAGCTGCTGATTAATTACTGAAATTAGACTGCCTTTTAAATGCACCAATTTGGCAAAAGGTTAAGCTCCCCTGCTCAACTCAACTATCATGTGATGTCACTGTTATAGAATAAAATCAATCAAACCACACTATCACCTCAAAAGCTCAGTAACCTCAACCCGCGTCTCAGAGTGATCGGGCTGGATTTCACAAGCAATTTTTTCATTGTAGGGGAAGCGTCATATGGTACAAAACACAATCCAGCTTTACCTTGGAAGCAGCACAACTTTAGGCATGGTTTTAAATTCACCATGATTACAGCTTGTTGCTGGAGTGCACATTCTCTGTTATCAACATTCTTATCAGCTCTATTCTTTTGTCCCGCTCTTGAAAACAAACCAGTGAGCAGTGGTCCCAAAAATATGAGAAGACTGCTAACAATGTTTATAGAAAAAGTCATATCTGAAAGTAGATTCTAATTTAAAAAAGTGGAAAAGTGCACACTACCTTGACATGACTCTGAGCACCCAGGTTGTAGATTTCTGTAGGTTTCACCTGGTTGATGATCTTCACCAGACATGTGCTGTCAGTCAGGTCACCATAATGCAGCTTCATGTCTGTCAAAGAGTGGGACAAATATACACATTTTATATCTTAAAAAAAATGAATTTCTTGCAATAATTTACACTTACTGGTCACTGATGTATACGCTCACTGTGAATACCTGATAGAGGTCTAATATCAGAGTCAAGAAGAAAGTCATGCAGCTGCTGTTCTGTGTATTTGTGTGCTTTCGACAGAATGAGGCATATCTGAAAAAGTGTTGCTCCATTAAAGGCATATATACAGACAATTGATTCTGGTGATAAGTGAACTACATTCTGATCTAAATTAAATCCTTATAAGATGTTTTTTTTTTACCAGTAAGCTATGAAAAATGCTATGATCTGCAGTGTATGTGAGCAAAAAAAGTACAACATACATTTTCCTTATTACGCACTTCAAGTGCCATTACTTGAAAAATGCCCCCCAAAAATAGCTGCAGGAGTTAGTAAATACAGTCATATCTGAGTGAAGCACTTTTCTCTGTATGCCTAGTTCAAACAAACATAGATATGATCAATCTTTTTACTTGAGAGGTCTGACAGATTAATTTTCTTGTTTAAAACCAAAAAAATTTGGTTTAATAATCACAAGGTGATATACTAAACAATTTGTGTCTCTTTCTGTGAATGACGCACAGGGGTGGGGTACACAAGATACTTACTGCCTTCAGTGTGTGTCTGTGGGTTCTGGTAAAGATGCTCAATGCGACCTGTGTTGAAGGAGCTGGAACGCCGCAAAATACCATGAACCTGAGGGAAAATGAGACAGAGAAGATGGTGTTAAGAAGAATCATGACATGTAATATCGAATATCAAATATCGTACCACACAATAGGGTTGGGCTGATCGCCAATGGCTGACAGGGAGCTCAACATCATGAGCCTTCCCATCACACACACACACACACACACACACACACACACGGTGTGTGCTTCATTGTGGACAAATATTACTTATTTTTTATTTATCACTTAATTACGGGGATTTCCTCAGGGATCAAGTTGAGTCATAGAACTGGTAAACGTGTGTCAGCCAGAGAGCACAAAATGAATTAAGGGTTTATTGTAATTATTATAATAACTCTCTTCACTTGATTTACTAAAAAAAAATGCTTATTTAATCTCACAATTTGTTGCCCAGTGAAATATGACATATCATCAGATGATCTGCTTAATGAGGTAGATAAACATAGGCTGGGGAGAAAAAATTAGGGTTAGTAAAGTAGTGGTAAATGAGGTAGAAGGGTAGGTGAGGATGGGCAGTGAATTTGCTCAAACGTGCAAAAATATAGACATAGTAACTAATTAAAAGTAATAAATTAATTACCAGTACATGTGGAAAACATATTCCAAGGAACACAGCAGCGGTAGGAGCTATTCTACATTCAAATAACAACCAAGACATGAAATTTTACCATACAGGTACTCTACAACACAAAATAACAAAGCAACACCTTTTCTAGTACTGTTGATGTGAACCAGTATGTCTGGCAAATCCCTTTTGTTAAACAAGAGGAAAGCTGCTCAGTCTTGTTAGAAATCTGTCCCTGTCTGGACATAAAACTTCAGAATTTAGTCTTGTAACATATTAACAGGTTCAGCACAAAACAGTACTATCTCTGGAGTCATCTTGTTCTCAGGGGGTTAACAGTCTTCCTGTTGTGACCATAATAGCACTAATTATGAGGTGTGTCAGAAAAGTTCCAGGACTGGTTTTCCCCTTCAGACGATCAACCAGTACGTCTACAAAGAGATGCTGCGCGTTTGCTTTGTTCAGTGCATAAGAAGAGGAGAGAGTTGTGGCAGGACAAGTCGCGGCTGCTTCACCATGACAACACGCCTGCTCACAATGCCCTCAGCATCCGATAGTTTCTGGTTGAGAAGAACATCGCCGTGCTGGAGCAACCTCCCTACTCACCCCACCTGGTTTCATGTGATTTTTTCCTCTTCCCCGAGCTGAAAGGGGGTCATCAAGGGGACCCGTTTAGAAGACATGGACGACATCAAGATGGCTGTGACGACAGAGCTGCAGAGGATCCAGGAAGAATCCTTCCAGGAGTGCATGGCAGTGTGGCAGAGAAGGCTGGGGAAGTGCATTAGACTCCAGGGGAATTATTCCAAGGAGAAAACTTGTAGTTTGAATTTGAAATGTATCTTTTGTGACACCAGTCCTGAAACTTTTGTGACACACTTCACATATTTTGCTGTTATAATTTGCAGTTAATTTGTTTACTGCCTTTAGAATACATGCATTTAATGTAATTAATAATCTCAGTCATGTGAATTAAATTTCTAATGAACTTGGAGAGCAGTTGTTGTTTTTTTTTTTTCTTTAAATATGACAACACATTTAAAGGTTTTCCAAAAATATTAAAACCACTGACAGGTGATGTATATAATAATAATCATCTAATTCCCTTGGACCCCGGCATTCATGTGGATACTACTTCACAAATTAAATATTGTTGTAGACTGAACACAAACCCTCATGGCAGCAGCACACCCCAACACCATCGATCTCCCCCAGCAGGATAATGCCACACCACAAAAACTGATTAGGAATGACTTGTGAAACACAACAGAGTTCAAGGTGTTGACCTAGCCTTCAAACTCCAAGTTCAATCCATGGAGGCCCCAGTCCAACCCAGCTTCCCAATGCCTGACACCACAGGAAAAACCCGGGGGTCTGTGTCCATGATGGGTCAGAGCTGCATACACAATATTCGGCAGGTGGTTTCACTGTAGTGGCCAACTCTGCTTTATTTAAAGTGCCTATTATCTTTGAAAGATCTTTGGGAGCATACGATATTTTGTAGTGACAGAAGAGTATGTCACTGCTCCAGCTCGCTGTATTTTTCTTGCTGCCTGTGATCTGTGATCTGTACTGCATGTTCTGGGGGGAATGTGTGAGGAAGGTCTGCTAAGGGAAGATAACAGGACCTGATCCAAGGGGAGTCCATTAGTGGGAGGACGCTGTGCCCTGACCTCACTTCCTTTATTCACTGGGCACTTCCTGGCTTCTCTTTAATGGCGCTCCTCATCCCCCTGACACCCCCACCACATCAGCATCCCCAACCTGGACCATGTCCACTTCCTCCCTGTTCACTGGGGCAGGCAGCAGATGATGAATCAGAACAGGCAGACTGAGATGAAGGTGGGTGTTTCTGCTACACATCTGAGGGGAAATTAAGTCATTTCGCTACTGTCAGGAAAACACAATGAGCACTGGTGCAACATGTGACCGGTGTATAGTCACTTTTCATGGCTATGAAGCACCACTGAAGCCTTATGTAGCCTCAATCTGTCTTGGTGTTTAAGGCTAACAAAAAACAGGGTGTTGATACCCATGGTTGTTCTAAGAAGTAAGTAAAATATGGAGCCACTGATAATCTTAAGAAAGTCGTTCACTTGGTGCACACGGCAAGAAAATGCCATGTTTCTGCCAGCTCCCTTATGCTTCAGTGGGGCACATAATGCATGCACATTACTGTACTTCTTGAGTAGAGCTGGCTGAGGGCATGCATTGCCAAGACTTCCACCTACAGCTTCCCATTTGCTTTCCACACATGAAATTGACGAAACAAAATCATCTTCTAGACTACACAAATGCTATTGGATGGAATAAATACAATTTTGATCATAAAAACAATCATTATGCAGGATCTGTGGCACGAAAAAAGAAATTCTTCCCTGTTCTATTTTTCTTTTTCTTTTTTTTTTTTTTTCCCAGCTCCTTTTCTATTGATTTTTTTTTTTAAATGCTTTCCAGCCAACAAAGAAGTTTTAATACAATACAGTTTGCAGCACAGCTTAGCACCTTTCCTGGGGTTTACTGTCAACCCCCAGCAGATAGACTCCCTCATAAGTGTCAGGGGAGCGCTTGTAGATAGGAACAGGCATAAGACCTGCAATAAGTTAGCAGCTTACTCCTAAAAACAAAAAAATCTCCTTCAATTTCCTTCTATGTCCCTCTTTGTTTCAGCACATTATTTCACCAAAAAAGAAACCCCTTGACACCTTGTGTGACCACTGACAGGCTGTTGACTTTTCGTGTTCATGGAAACATATCCAGCATCAGGTGAAAGTTAGTGACCTCACTCATATGGCTGTATAACAACAACAGTTTCCCTGTTAATGGTCTGACCCAGGGCTAAAAGGTCAGGGGTGAAAAAGTTTGTACTACACAAGAGGTCTTATCGGGGTGAGGTGTGAGTCAGTCAGTGTATGCTGACTGTCAAGTTACGTCATGATCCCTCTGGAGTTCCCACACACTGCTATGACTGGATACTGCTTATCGAAAGAATGTCGCTCTGTGTATGCTGGCATTCATGAGTGTCTGCATTTGTGTGCGTGTATGCGTCCGTCTGAGGTTCCAAAGGACACAAAATGGTTCTGTTGAGGTTGCAAGTTGATTTTTCTCTCACCTCATAGCCTTTCGCAAGCAGGAACTCCGCCAGGTAGGAACCATCCTGAAAAGACAGAAGACAACACCCCTTAAAAGTTGTGAGATAGCACTGCAAATACAAAGTGTGTGATTCAGACACACTGATTAGAGTTTCTTGTTCTGACTGAATCACAGCAACACAAGCAAAACATAATGAAACATTCACCGCCATTTTGGCCAAACAGAATTCACTGTTTTGAAGTTTAAATGATTCACTTCTACTTACCAGCCAACAACATGCATGCAGTAATAAATCTAGATGTAAAAACTGCAATCTAACAGTGAAATCATACAACATGATCACAGTGACCAAAATAGATAGAAGGGATTGTTGTCAGTCAGTGAATTTGAAATGATTGTTTCATGTCAGCTGGCATCGTCGATGTTTCATGCTGTCAGGACATGAAGACCACAGAAGAGCTCATCAGCCATCTTAGTTCAATGTTTTTTTTTTTGTTGTTTTTTTTACATTAGAGCGTTTCTGGAAAAAGGTGCTTCCATCCTTCACTATGCAAATTACCTTTTATTTAAAAAAAAAAAAAAAAGGTTTAAAACCAATTTAAGTGAGCATAAAAGTGTTTCCTGTTAAATAGGTACATCAAACCAAATGACTAACATTGTGTTAATGACTATTGCAATAATGTCCAAATCTAGTGTCACATCGATGTTTTAGAGAAACCTTTGAAGAAAGGCCATGAGTACCCTCAAGCTCTGTTAATAACATTTTTCTTAATGAAACGGGCAGGTGCAATAATTTGTCAAAAAGAAACCTTTACATTGTAGAAAAAAATGTAAATAAGTGGTTGAACAATTTAAACCTCTTTGATGGTGTTGGAACACAATCCTCCTGAATCCTTTACACTGTAGCTGAATACTTGGTCCTGGGATCATTAGGTGTAACATCTACATGAATCAGGAGCTTTGGGCAGACATTAGACCACAGTGTGTGTGTGTGTGTGTGTGTGTGTGTGTGTGTTGGTAGTGAGAGAGAGCAAGCACTGTCAATAAGGTCTTGTTCCCCTCACCCATGTTACTCCTCGTCTTTTTTCCCTGCTCAGACTTTCCGACCGCACATTCTGGAACACTCTGGAACATTCCGACCTAGTCATGGCATTCATCCCTCAATCCCCCTCACATGTGTGTGCGCGCACACACACACTCACACACACACACATTTATACACACACGCGCGTACAAGTCACACTGCCAGCATGCCAGCCACATGCTTCCTCTTCAGGGTTGAGGGTAACAGTGAAGGTAGAGGCCACAAAGCAGATGAGGAAAGGTTGAAGGTAGCTGGAGGTTGGAGGACACCAAGAACCTGCACTGAGCAACAAGTATTACAGTCATGCCTGAGGCTGCATGATGCTCCTGAGTGACTACAGTACAGTTTGGCCAAATCGGCTGCAGCAGTGAAAACAATGCTTTTGCCTCAAAAAGTGGTGATCCTAAATCAACCTTGTTTGTGCAACATGCTATTTAACCAGATCTGAAGGCAACAGTTGGGATACCTGTTCTCAGCAGCCATGCATGGAGGCAGGCTAAAAAGCTGTTACCAAAGCGAGGGATGAGTCATGACAAGCCATCAAACTGGGGATGATGAAACATTGATGAAACATCACAAAAATAGTTGTGCGAATCATCTAAAAAAGCTGAATTGAAAAGTTTAACCTTTGCTTACTTGCTGGCACAGCTGACAGACTAGTGAAGCTGCAGGAATTGTCAGATGCAGCCCTGCACAGACTCCACTTCCAGAAAGGTGTGGAGGGACAGAGTTTCAGACTCTTTTTCACAATCCAACAACAATCGTGTTGAGGGTGTGTCTGGTCTGGCCAAGCACATTAACCCTTACTGGGTTTTATACCAATTAAATAAACAAGATACATTACTGAGCTTAAGAGACACTAATGATTATTTTCCTCTTTGGATATCACAGGATTCAATATTAAGGTTGGCTGTGACCATATAGATATGAGACTGGTACTAATTTTCTGATCCAACACGAGAATGCAAATAATCATAATTCAAACTACTAAATGACAAACTATTCCTTTAAATTCAATCCACACTGGTGTTCTATCGAATCAACTACAGTGTATTTCATCATTGCTCTTTGTGGACCTCAAACCAGCAGCTACTTGCGCTTGAACATCAAAAAGAACATAAAACAACAATAAGAAACATGGGGGGATTGAAACATTTTCCTGCCCTCTTCAATGAAGACGTTTAGCAACATTTGGCTTTGGAGTTGAAAAGATCGATCGTAAATAGGTGTGAGTGTTTGCTGCTTTTCTCAGTCAACTATGATGGGAATCTGAATATCTGTGAACTTTGGACTGCTGATCAGGCAAAACCACCAATCAAAATATGGTAATTTACTACACTCCAGATGAATCCTTAATAAAAATAAATGTCAGCAGCAGTCCTCAGTACTTCTGTGAATGTCCTTTTAAGATCATTTCCAGCATCTGCAGGTTGAGCCCGGGCGGTCAGCTGGCACCGATGTCCAACCTGTTTCTGCCCAAACCAAAGGGGGAGATGGGCACGGGTAGTGGCAGCCCCTCACCCATCCCCACAGTGTTCAAAGCTTCGGCCGGTGTCATGTTTTCCTGCCCCCGTGCCAGGGTCAAAGCGTTCCATGCCAGACCAATATGGAAAACAAGCCTGAAGAGCTGCAGCTCTGTTTCAAAACAAGAGGCTCCTTTGAGGCCGTATTAGCCTATAAACCCTGGCCTCACCTCGCTGTTTCCTGTTATGGGGAGCTGGGTACTTGCTCAGAGCAAGGGGGGCAGACACACACACGTACAACTGCATGCTCACCTGCCAGGTCAATGCCACACCACAAATTCCCCAAAGACTCATTTAAGAGTTTGACACAATATGATCTCTTTACTCTAATGCTACACTGAATATACAGTCGGGTCCATCTGTATTTCAACAGTGACACAATTTTCGCAGTTTTGGAATGAAGCAAATCAAGATGTGATCAAAGTGTAGACTTTAAGCCTCAATTCAAGAAGTTAAACAGGAATATTTCATGAACCACTGAGGAATGCAGTCATTTTTTTACACAGTCCCTCAACTTTTCCAAATTCAGAACTAATTGTACAAATAACATAATTATAAATAAAAGAATTTTTAATACTTGGATACAAATCCTTTGTAGTCATTACTGTCTGAAGTCTGGAACTCATAGACATCAGCAAATGCTGAGTTTATCCCCATGAGATGCTTTGCCAGGTCTTTACTGCAGCCAGTGCCCCTTGCTGCTGGTTTGTGTGTATTTCAGCCTTTAGTTTTGTCTCCAGTAAGAAGTTTGCATGGGCTGGCAGAGCATTCCATTTCTTTGCCTTAAGAGGCTCTTCGGTTGCCTTTGCAGGATATTTTGGGTCATTGTCCATCTGTACTGGGAAGCACCATCCTAATATGGTTGCAGCATTTGAATCAAAGCAGAATGTACAATGTAGCTCTGTACACTTTATTCTGCTACATCTATCAACCATCACATCATCAATAAACACCAATGACTCAGTTCCTTCAGCAGAAATAAATGCCCATGCTGTAACATGGTCTCCTCCATGTTTGACAGATGATGTGGTCTGCTTTGGCTCATGAGCCCTTCTTTTCCTTTTCCACACTCTTCCCATCACTCTGATGGTTCATCTTGATTTCATCTGTCCAAAGAATCTTGTTCCAGAACTGGGCAGCTGTTTTACATGGTTTTGGGAAAAGTCTAATCCAGCTTTTCTGTTGTTTAGTGTTACCATTGGTTTGCATCTTGCGGTAAACCTTCTGTATTTACATTCATGAAGGCGTCTCTTGACTGCAGTTTACCTCCTCAAGCATGTTCTTGACTTGGTTGGATGTTGTAAAGAGTTTTTCTTCTTAAGGAAACAATTCTGTCAACATCCACTTTAGTTGTTTTCTGTGGTCTGTCAGACCTTTTGCTGTTGCCGAGCTCATCAGAACATTTTTTCTTTTTAAAAATATAACCCAATTGTTGATTTGGCCTCTCCTGAAGTTTCTGCTTCTCTTCCAGAGGTCTGCACTGTGTTTACAGCCTGACAATGAACTTCTGCACTTGCATCATCACCTCTATAGACTGTGAAAAATGGCTTGAAATTCCTCAACAGCTACTGATTACATTTTTTTATTTATTTTTTTTAATTTGCCCAATTAAAGTTCAATTGAACATTTCAATGACATCTTGATTGCTTTAAGTATAAATTCCCTGGGGTGCAGTCTAGAGGCAATATTAAGAAAATTGTGTTCAAATAGTTTCATATTTTAAGGTCGATGTCATGAAAAATTCGCAGAATTGTTCTTAAGAATCTCAAGAACTGTCTGCAGTAGCCAAGATCATAATGAGGAGGAGCAATAGTGTAAAAAAGCACTCCTGTACTCACGATATCCATTCCATTTTTCCGTTTGATGCTAAACAAATGTTGAGGTTTAAATAATCCAGTTAGTCTAATCAATGAAGCACAGCCTGTCCATAAAATAATGCCATGTAAGGGAAATTGATTTTATGTGTGTACAGACTTAGACTTAGACTGAGTTTATTAATCCCAGAGGGAAATGTATGTATGTATGTATGTATGTATGTATG